CGGGAGCGACTGTTGACAGCTCAGAGTCGCCAGAAGTCATATTCTGACGTACGGCGACGAGACTTAGAGTTTGAGGTTAATGACTGGGTATTCTTAAAGGTATACCCTATGAAGGGCGTGATGAGGTTTGGCAAGAAAGGCAAGCTTAGCCCACGGTATATTGGGCCTTACAGGATTATTCAGAGAGTGGGCCAAGTAGCTTATGAGTTAGAATTGCCCTCAGAATTGGAGTCAGTCCATCCGATTTTTCACGTATCTATGCTACGTAAGTGCATTGGCAATCCTACCAGAGTGGTGTCCACAGACGATGTACAAATTACGGAGGACTTGTCATACAAGGAAATTCCAATTGTCATCTTAGACCGACAAATTCGCAAGCTACGAAATAAGGAGGTAGCCTCCGTGAAAGTTTTATGGAGAAGCAATAATGTGGAAGAGATGACATGGGAGGCGGAGGAAGAAATGAAGTATAAATACCCCCACCTATTTCAAACTGAAAATATGGCTCGAGATGGGATGCTACAGCACAACTCTATTCAGGCTAGTAGGTCATCAGGTAAGCTCTTATTTTCTGACTTTTAGTATTTGTGATTTACGACTCTTTGAGGCAAAGTGTTGTTATTTATAGACGTTGGCCATGTGTGGCATGCATAGTATATTTTCTGGCTGCATGCAAGTTAGTTATTGTCTAGTGTACGGAGGAAACTCTGCCAAAATTTTTCCAAAGTCTCTAAAAGTAAACATTCGAGGACGAATGTTCCCAAGGGGGGAATGATGTTACACCCTATATTGTTTTGTACGTAAAACTGCGTCGTGAGCAAACTAATGTAGGACCAAAAAATGAGATCATCTTTGAAAATATATAAAGCAAGTTAATCATGTTACCTCGGAAGATACAAATATTGAATATCATGAACAACATGTACAAAGAGGGTTGGAAGGTTTAGAAGCTAAAGGAATTGAAGAAAATAATGTTTTGTCGAAAGCCGACAAATTGGGAATGTTATAGCATGTACTTTTGGGATGAGACCAGGGTGTTTTACATGATAAGGAGGTTATGTTACGAGTTATGTTATTCGTATGATAGTCATGTGTTATGTTTTGAATTCAAGCGAGTGGTGGAATAAAAGTCGATGAAAGTCATCACAAGTTACGTTCATAAGTTTTACTGAAACTTTGGGTCAAATGTAACTGCGATTTTCTCCTAATATACTTAGAATTATGGGGTGTTCCACCCATAAAATTAAATATCTATGAGTTTACTTTCTAACGCATTAAACCGTTTGTCAATACGATATCAGAGTAGAGACATATGGGTAGTTTTGCGAGACTGCGCAGAAAGTCAAAGTCTAGAGTTTGAAGAACCAAGATAGGAGCTGAGTTATCCCACAAATAAGGTAAGTTTACTGCTCTCTTTCATCCATTATTTACAGTTGTAGATGCATGGTAAGTTGTTCTATATTTGTAAGAACTCACTGGACGGTGATCGGAAGCCGTGAGTTCGAGTTATTCACTTGTAGCGGACTGTTTTAAGGATTGTTTTGTGTACTGTTTGGTATTATTGTTGGGCTGCATGATTTACTACTGTTTTGTGGAGTTTTGGAGGAGGAAGGGTGTGGATAAACACTACATAAATGCAGGATGTTGGGCTGGTAGTTCGTCGTAACATTTTCGGGGTTGTTGACACTACTACGGTGGTCGTTTTGTGTATGAAGAGATTGGGGTGTGTTGGGCTGTTTTGTAGTATTGTGTGGTGTAAATAAGGTTGGAAAATAATGTATATATGTTGTTATTGTTGTTTTTGGTGTTGCTGGTGTTATCTTGAATTTGGAAGAAGTAAGGATTATAGGGGAGATGCTGTCCGTTTTAATACAAAATAAGCATGTCATTCGTTATACGATAGTTATACATTTCATAACTTAATGATAGTATTATTATCGTTGTTGCAGATTAAGGTGAGAAGAGGCGAGTTCAACTTAGTGATCGGAAAGAGTGTGATAAGATATGTTAAGGCTAAGCTTTCCTTCATTTTGGCATGATCTCGTAGCTACATGTGTTAGTAATGAGACATAAAGAGAAGTTCGTAATCATGAATTTCTTAACATTATTCTAGTCTCATAAGTTACAATATTATTCCTTATCGAGACTCTATATTCAATTTAGTATTATCTTCTTCCAGTCAAGAGAGCAGCAAGCCTATATATACAGTATTACAGTATTTTCATTACCATCGAGCTATAATCGATGGGCAGGCCCCTATTGGGCAACCTATGATCAAATGGAAAGTTATATACCGAGCCTACTATGGCCGAGCGCCTATGAGCGAGCCCAGCATGGCTGAGATACATAGCCTAGTATGGCCGAGCGCCTATGAGTGAGCCTACTACGGCAGATCAGTTATATATACCGAGCCTTATAAGGCCGGACAATTATTTTACTTACTATATTGAAGGAGTTGAGTCAGTATCAGCAAGTAAGTATATCTCTAAATCATCTTTGACTCCCAATTACTTTCAGTTCTTATATTATCAGTTCAGTTTCAACTTTCAGTTATGTTATTGCCTTATATACTCGGTACATTATTTTGTACTGACGTCCCTTTTCTGGGGACGCTGCATTTCATGCGTGCAGGTTCAGATAGACAAACGGGTAGACCTCTTCAGTAGGTGTTTCCAGAGTTCAGCATGATCAGTAATCTCCATATCCTTCGGAGTTATCGGGTCTAGGTTTTCGTGTACATCTTCTATATGTATGTATGTATATATGTTATGGGTAGGTCGGGGCCCTGTTCTGATCACAATATATCCATCAGTAGAGGCTTATAGACATATCTTGTCAGTTAGTGCACTATGTTGGGCTTTAGGCCTGGTATGTATATTTGGGTGGTTTGTCAGTTGTAGTAGTTATGACGGCCTTGTCGGCCCAACTTTATATTGATGTTTAGTCAGCGCTAGTTTCCATTCAGTTTTATATTTTGCTTCGCAAATTATCTTACAAGGTGGTCCCATGGCCAAATTATGACATTATATGTTCAGAGTCCCTTAGTCGCAATTTGGTACACCAGGTTAATTGAGGCACCGGGTGCCAGTCTCGCTCCCAGGTCGGGGCATGACAGCTACGCACAACTTAAGCTTCTTCTTCTCATCTCTTCTTCTTACTGGTTTTCGCTACGCATCCTAGTTACGCTGGCTACAAAACTTCTTCTCCTCATTTATTTGCTAAACTCTCCAAGTCATTCATTTATCCACTCAACATAAGGACCCCCAACCCTTATGACTTTATGTTCAAGTATCCCAGTGACCCTGCTACCCTCACACGGGTTCGTACGTACTTCGAGGTATCACTAATTATTCTCTTAATATTGAATTAGGCTCAATCATATTAAAAATATTCTAGGGCTTTCCAATCTTCCCCACTTAGAAATATTCGTCCTCGAATGTTAAGCCGAAGCCATAATCAAGTTCAAATAGCCAACAATAGCCCTCCTAGGCCTTGACACCAAATGGCCTCTTATTAGTCATCCTTCTCAAAAATATTCGACAAAGATTCCTTTATAAATAGGACTATCCCAAGATTTCTACCTTTTATCCAACCACAAGAATCCGAAATGCATAAAGCAAAGAGGCCCCACACGGCTCGTATTCAGACATAAGACATCTCTATATACCAACAAAAGTTTAATACACATCACAAAAAGAAGTTATTACAATGTAAGCCTCAAAAGGAAATATAAGGCATATTAGTACAATATTCTAGCCTAAGCTTCATTTTCTTGAAATAAATAAGGATATCCGCTTCCCATCTTGCTTCTTCAACATCTTGACTCCGCCATAGCACCTTAACTGATGCTATCTTCTTTATCCTCAATTTCCTGACTTGTTTATCAAGTATAGCAATAGGAAGCTCCTCATATATTAGTCCCTCATTTATCTCAATAGTTTGTGGGGAAATGACATGCGAGGGGTCCCTCAAATACTCTCGCAACATCGACACCTGGAAGACTGGGTGCACAGAAGATAACTCTTGTGCCAGGTCCAATTCATAGGCTGCATCTCCTATTTTCTTCAAACTATTGTAAAGCCCAATAAATCTTGGGTTTAATTTCCCCTTCTTGACAAAACGCATCACACCTTTCATTGGTGGCACTTTCAAGAAAACAAATTCACCATCTTTAAAGGTAAACTCTCGACGTCGAACATCCGAATAGGACTTTTGGTGACTTTGAGCCATTTTGAGTCTCTCTTTAATCACCTTCACCTTTTTTCCATGGCTTAGTGCACCATGTCAGGACCTAATAATTGGGCTTCACCAACTTCGAACCAACCAATAGGAGACCTACATCGCCGCCCATACAAAACTTCAAATGGTGCCATTTGTATGCTCGCTTGATAGCTATTATTATAAGCAAACTCAATGAACGGTAAATGATCATCCCAATTTCCCTTGAAGTCAATCACACAGGCTCGTAGCATATCCTCAAGTGTTGGAATGATCATTTGCATGTCCGTCTGTCTGGGGGTAGAAAGTCATACTAAGGTTTACTTGTGTACCCAAACCCCTCTGAAACGACTGCCAAAAGTTCATCGTGAATTGAGCAACTTTATTTGAAATGATAGAAACAGGGATACCGTGCAGTCTGACAATTTCCCTAATGTAAATCTATGCGTACTGCTCTGCGGTATTAGTAGTCTTGACTAGAAGGAAGTGTGCCAACTTTGTAGTTGGTCCACAAATTACCCAAATAGAATCATACTTGCAAAAAGATCGGGGCAATCCAACAACAAAGTCCACATTGATCATCTCCCAATTTCACTGTGGAATTTCAATATTCTGGGCTAACCCACCGGGTCTTTGATGTTCAGCCTTTACCTGTTGGCAATTAATACACATGGACACGAACTCGGCTATATCTTTCTTCATATTATTCCACCAATAGACCTCTTTTAAATCCTGATACATCTTTGTAGATCCTGGATGTACAGAGTACCTCGAATTATGTGCTTCGGTCATGATTTCTCATATGAGATCATTCACATTAGTAACACATAGTCGACTTTGATACCTCAAAGTACCATCGATTACATCCACCGTGAAAATTGTGACTTTCTAGTGGTCGACCCCTTCTTTCAACTTCACTAAATGCGGATCTTCATATTGATGGGACTTTACCAGTTCGATCAAGGATGACTGGGGGCCATTTTGTATGGTCACATCACCACTATCATCCTCGACAATTCGTACACCCAAGTTTGCCACGCTATGGAGCTCTCTCATCATAGGTTGTGCACGTACCACCAAACAAGCTAAGTTACTTGTTGACTTTCTACTAAGAGCATCTGCCACCATATTGGCCTTTCCCGGATGGTACAAAATATCCACATCATAGTATTTGAGAGTTCAATCCATCTTCTTTGCCTCAACTTCAATTCTCGTTGCTTGAAAATGTACTGTAAAGTCCTATGATCGGTATACACCTTACAATGGACACCGTACAGATAATGGCACCATATCTTTAATGCAAACACCGCCGCGACGAGTTCTAAATCATGCGTGGGATAGGTCTTTTCATGGGTTTTTAATTTCCTTGAAGCATAGGCAACCACTTTACCTTGTTGCATCAACACATACCCCAACCCAACTCTTGAAGCATTACAATACACCATAAATCCCTCTAAGCCCGTAGGTAAGGTCAACACTGGTGCTGTAGTCAGTCTAGTTTTCAATTCATGGAAACTCCTTTCATAAGCATCTGACCATTGAAATTTGGCAGCTTTCTGTGTTAGTTTGGTCAAAGGAGATGCAAAAGTAGAAAAACTTTCAACAAACCTCTGATAGTAGCCGGCTAATCCCAAAAAGCTTTGAATCTCTGCCTGTGTTATTGGTCTAGGACAAAACTTAGCTGCTTCAATCTTTTGCGGATCAACCTTGATACCTTCACTTGATACCACATGACCCAAGAACGCCACGAATACAAGCCAAAACCCGCACTAAGAAAATTTTGCATACAACTCATGCTCCAATAGCATTTGCAATACTATCCTCAAATGATTGGCATGCTCCTCTCGACTTCGTGAGTAGACTAAAATGTCATCAATAAACATTATTACGAATGTGTCGAGAAATGGTTTGAAAACTCAATTCATCAGATCCATAAAAGTTGCAGGTGCATTCGTCAACCCGAATGACATCACCAAAAATTCATAATGCCCGTAGCGGGTACGAAAAGCTATTTTGGGAATATATTTTTCTCAGATCTTGAATTGATGGTACCGTGACCTTAAGTTAATCTTTGAGAAATACTTTTCCCCTTGTAACTGGTCAAATAAGTCATCTATCTGAGGTAATGGATACTTATTCTTGATAGTCTCCTTGTTAAATTGCCGATAGTCAATACGCATTTTCAAAGATCCATCTTTCTTTTACACAAATAAAACTGGTGCACCCCACGGCGAGACACTCGGCCTAATGAACACTTTGTCGAGCAAGTCCTTTAATTGCTCTTTCAATTATTGTAACTCTGTTGGGGATATTTGGTATGGTGTAATAGATATTGGTTGTATATCTGGCATCACATCTATCCCAAAATCAATAACCCGATCCGGAGAAATACCCGGAAGTTCATCGGGAAAGACAACTGGAAACTCACAAACAACTTGTACAGATTGAAGAGTTGGTATCTCAGCGCCCATGTTCGTGAATCTAACTAAGTGGTAGAGGCATCCCTTGGTAATCATCTTTTTCGTCTTAAGATAAGAAATAACTTACCTCGAGGTTCGATAATATTGCCCTTCCATTCACGAACCGGATCATTGGGGAATTCAAACTTGACTACTTTAGCATGATAATCAAGGGTGGCATAACACTTGAATAGCCAGTCCATCTCCATGATTACATCAAAGTTAACCATTTCTAATTCAATAAAATATGTCATAGTTTCTCGATACTGAACTATGATTATACAACCCCTATAGACACGAGAAGCAATAAAAGAATCTCCAACCGAAGTGGAGACGGAAAATGGTTCAAATAATTATTCTGGCTCTATCCCTAAATCCAAAGCAAAATATGGGGTAACATAGGAAAATGCGGATCCAGGATCCATAAGAGCATAAGCATCAAGTGTGCAAACAATGAGTATACCTGTAACAACGACCACCATGGTGTCTTTCCTGCATTACGACCACCATGGGTCACATTTCCCCGAGGTGGGGGTGGTGTAGATGAAGTAGTAGCCATGGAAGCTGTCGGTTAAGCCCTCAATCCATGTTGCCCATTGGGGCAGAACCTCTTTATGTGGCCTATCTGTCCATACCCATATCATGAGCCTCGAATTACTGGAGATGAGTCAAAATATCTAGAACGTGAGCCTACACTACTCTGAACCTGTTGAGTGGTCGTGCGGTCACTTTGAGTTAGTCTAGTCTGACCTTTATGTCCCGAACTATAAGCCACTGGTGGGCCACTAAAAGCGGTTTGTACCATAGATTGTGATGGCCCAGATGTCCCCCTACTATTCTGACTCTTACCCGAACTAGGCACTACACTGAAAGTACCAAAGGTACGAGCCTTTTTGTTCTGTTGTCTGTTAACTTTTTCCTCTTAGTGAATCCTCTCAAGATCCATAGCCAAGTCCACAAAGTCAACATAAGTAGTGTTCCTCCTTCCACTAGCCGCATCTTTTCGAATACTCATAATCAACCCACAAGCAAAGCGATCAATCCTGTCATCATCCGTGGGGATGAGGTGGGGAGCATAGCGAGACAACTTCTCAAACTTGATGTTGTACTCTGAAACATACATATTATCCTGCTTTAAGGTCTCAAATGATATTGTGAGAGCATCCCTAACTCCCGGTGGCAATCACTTCTTGATGAATATTTTGGTGAATTCTTCCCAAGTCATTAGAGGTGCATCCTCCGGTCTACTTTTCTCTACCCCTTTAAACTAGAGGACAGCCATATCTTTCAACTGGTATGCTGTTAACCTAACAACTCGATGATCCTTCATTCCTAGTAAGGTAGTGGCCTTCTCCATCTCCTCAAGAAAGTTTTGTGGGTCGGCAAGAGGATTCGTTCCTGTAAATGTCGTTGATCCAAGCCTTACAAACTTCATGGCCAATTGTGCCATGTCCTCGGACACTGGTGATCTCATGCCTCCCTGATGGAGAGCTTGAATACCCATCTGCAGGTTATGTTGGATCTGTATAGCTATTAGCTCTGCAAAAGTATCCATGGCCTTCCTTATGCCGAGAAGGGTCTCATCTAAGCGGTTTGGCACTAGAGGTGGGGTAGGTGCCTCATCAACTTCTTCCTTATGCTCCTTCACTATTCTGGGAGCCACAGGAGCTGGCACAATATGTGCCTTTGCGGCCTTCGGAGGTCAGCCCCTAGGTATGATGGGTGTCCCTCCCGAAGCCGTATTAAGTATAAGAGCAACTTATATGTTCATATTGCTACCGCATGTGTTCACCATGTTCTGCTAATCGAGATAACGCACGAGTTAAGAAACCTCTTAGATTCAAGATCTAATGCACGATCTAGAATAGGGAGAAAGATCGAAACATTTCTATTATGCCCATGTAGCCTTCCCGATATAAATGTAGTGCATAACACACTGATAAAGAGAACTCTACTAGACACGATTTCAGAGACACCCTAGGACTCGACTTAGAACCTAGTGCTCTGTTACCAAGTTTGTCGCGACCCAAGATCCACGTGACCAGCACTCGACACACTACTCGACCCAAGCGAATCAAACCCATATATAACTCCCCTCTTATATGTATGCGGAAGCCTTTTAAAACATAAATATTTTTAAACAATAAAAATGCATGCATGAAACTTAACCTTTAAAATGAATCTTTTCAATAAACAAAAGACATAAATGTAGATGTTCATTCATGCATGTCATATGAGTAACCATAGCTTACAACCCAAAAGAATAAACTACTATTATCTATGGAATCTCTATGACACGGAATGAATATAGTCGACCGAGTCAAGCCGCGGTAACCCAAAAGCGTAAAATAAATATTACTCCACGATAGTAAGAGTGGAGCCTCACCAAAAGAATCAACTGGAAATGTGGAGTTGTCCTATCCACGGGGCTCGCACTACTTAGGACCGGTGCCTGAAAACAGTAATGGAAATTTAGCCAAAGGGCCTAAGTTCCACATGCCTAGCATGAATTATAAACCGTTTTCCCAAAGAGTGGGACAAGGTAGGAAAAGA